ACCAGCTAGACAGTGTAATTTCTCCAGTGGTGTAAGGCACAGACAGCCTGTAATAATGCGGCATGTTTAATTAACAGCCACATCCCCTGTTTTAGCGTGGTGATATATGTTCCATACTGGGCATGTGTACTCAGCAGCAGAGTAGCAAAGCTCAAGGGCAGATGCCTTCACTGTATCTGGTTGTGATCCCCAGGTTGTGCCAGTCAGCTTTGGTATGATATTGTTTCTAGCACACTTCTTGTAGGTCAGAGCACGGTCCAGAGTGACTCCCAGGGATTTGGGTGCGCTGCAATGCTCCCGTGGGATTCCTTCCCAGGTAATAATCCTCAGAGCTCGGGATGCTTGTCTGTTCTTGAGATGAAAGGCACATGTCTGTGTTTTAGATGGATTAGGGATCAGCTGGTTTTCCCTGTAATAGGCAGTAAGAGCACCTAGAGCTTCGGAGAGCTTCTGTTCAACCATCTCAAAGCTCCCTGCTTGGGTGGTGATGGCACGATCATCAGCATAGATGAAGCTCTCTGTCCCTTCTGGCAGTGGCTGGTCATTTGTGTAGATGTTGAACATGGATGGAGCAAGCACGCTCCCCTGAGGCAGGCCGTTCTTCTGTTTCCGCCCTCTGCTTCTCTGGCCCTGGAACTCAACAAAAAGCTCCTGTTTTGTAGCAGGTTTCCTATGAGGCGGGTGAGGTGGTCGTCCTTTGTGATACTATACATTTTTCTCAGGAGGAGGCAGCGGTGGTTCACAGTCTCATAGGCTGCTGACAGGTCTATGAAGACAGCTCCTGTGATCTGCTGCCTTTCAAAGCCATCTTCTATGTGCTGAGTCAGGTTCAGCACTTGCGATGTGCAGCTTTTGCCTTTCCTGAAGCCAGCTTGCTGTGGAATCAGACATGGGTCTATTTTTTCCATAATTCTATGCAAAATAAGTTTCTCCAGATACAAAATAAGTCTCTCCAGAACTTTGTAGAGGTGGCACAACAGGGAGATTGGTCTGTAGCTTTTTGGGTCATTACGGTCTTTGCCTGGCTTCAAGATGGCGATGACTCTTGCTTTCCTCCAGATTTTGGGGATCTGACAGGATGCAGTGCAGTTGTTCATCAGCTTCAGCAGCCAGCGCCTTGCTTTTGGGCCAAAGTTCTTGATTTGTTCCATCCGTAGATCATCCAGGCCAGCTGCTTTGCCATTTTTACATTTATTGAGAGCCATGTCCAATTCAGTAGATGTAAAGGGTTCATGGAGGTTGTTGTTCTCAATCTCTGGTTGTCTGGCTATTGGTTTCTTTCCTACTTTGGTGGCAAAGTTGGGTTTCCCATTCTTCAGGAGTTGGTGTGCTATCTGATCTGCCTTTATGTTGGCATAATAAGCACCCAGATTTTCCCCAAAGACGCCCGACTTGCATGTTAGGGAATGCATAGTTTCCCTTTCTCTCCCTCCTTCTCTTCCTTCCAAAGAGTTTGGGGCACTTTGCCTCACAATCCTTGTGGTGGGGCTGCCCTTAATTAAATCCGGACCGAGGCCACAGCTTGGCCAGCAGTGAACCACAAGCCAATCTGCTTTGATTTCAGGACCAGACTCGGATCGTGAGACTAAAGATCATCGCTGGAATTGACTTGGCCAAGAAGGACCTCTTAGGAGCAAGGTAAGGGATGTCTTCGTATTTTGGGGTGAACCACAGAAGGCAATGTTTTTGATGCTTTTAGGCCAAATGTGGCTTTTATTCCAGAACTGAAAAACTTTCTGGAGTCTTCCCAACAAGCTGAGGAAGGGCTTTATTTGGCTCCCAACATTTACATCTATGGAGTTGGGAAAAATCTGGTGGTTGCACTCAAGTTTGTGTTTTGGAAGAGCAGGGCCTTACAAAGATTTCCCCAGACCCACTTCCTGTGGACTGAAAGCAATACGACTTGGCCCAGTTCTGAGGCCTTCTCTCCATCAGGGCCACCTCGGGGGACACACTTCTCCCATCTTTTTAAGTAACTGTAACCACCTCGCTTGCAGAAGTTGAGAGGATGCTCCCAAAGCTACGTTGTCACTTTGGAAATCAGAGTCTCGTCACCTGAGAAATGCTTGCCCTTCAAAAATAATTGGAGTTTCGGCGTGTGTCTGGACACACACTTCTCCCACCTTTTTAGGCAACTGTAACCACCTCGCTTGCAGAAGTTGAGAGGATGCTACCAAAGCTACGTTGTCACTTTGGAAATCAGAGTCACATCACCTGAGACTCTGCCCTTCACAAATAAACTGGAGTTTCGGGGTGCGGCGTCATAATAATAATAATAATAATAATAATAATAATAATAATAAACCTTTATTTATACCCCGCTACCATCTCCCGCAGGACTTGGTGCAGCTTACAAAAGGCCGAGCCCAATCTATATATATAAAAATGCTTTGTGCATAATTAGTACCTTAAAAACAAAAGAACTAATGAACGAAATCACACCAAATTTGGCAACAAAACGTCTCACAACACAAGGAGTGACCATCACTCAACAAATTACGATTTTGTCCTTTGGGAGTTGTAGTTGCTGGGATTTATAGTTCACCTACAATCAAAGACCATTCTGAACTCCATCAACGATGGAATTGAACCAAACTTGGTACACAGAACTCCCATGACCAACAGAAAATACTGGAAGGGTTTGATGGGCATTGACCTTGAATTTCGGAGTTGTAGTTCACCTACATCCAGAGAGCACTGTGGACTCAATGATGGATCTGGACCAAACTTGGCACAAGCACTCAATACGCCCAAATATGAACACAGATGGAGTTTGGGGGAAATAGACCTTGACATTTGGGAGTTGTAGTCACTGGGATTCACAGTTCACCTACAATCACAGAGCATTCTGAACCCCACCAACGATAGAATTGGGCCAAACCTCCCACACAGAACCCCCATGTGGGCCACAGCAACGCGTGGCAGGGGAAGGCTAGCAATAATAATAATAATAATCCTTTATTTATACCCTGCTACCATCTCCCGCAGGACTCGGTCCGGCTTACAAAAGGCCGAGCCCAATACATCATAAAAACATAACAGCAAAACAACAAATAACTCATAACAAAGCAGAACAATACAATAATGACACGACACATTTCAAAAAACCTATGGCAGGGCCAAATGTAAGGATTAAAATTTAAAATGCTGGGCATGTCCAAGGGAAATAGGATGGAAATTTTAGGGATAGGTGGGCGTGCAGACAATTCGAAATCTCTCGTAAAGTGCATTTGGGACATATTGCTTAGGATTCCTTATTCTGGGAACATCCACGTTTTCAAGCTCCTTCTAAAGACTGCCAACATTGGGGCCTGCCTGATGTCCTTGGGGAGGGAGTTCCACAGTCATGGGGCCACCACCGAGAAGGCCCTCTCCCTCGTCCCCACCAATCATGCTTGCGATGCAGTTGGGATCATGAGCAGGGCCTCTCCAGATGAATGAAGGGATCGTGTGGGTTCGTATACAGAAATGCGGTCACTCAGGTAGGTGGGTCCCAAATCGTTTAGGGCTTTGTAGGTAAGCACCTGCACCTTGAATTGGGACCGGAAAATGAACGGCAACCAGTGGAGCTCCTTGAACAGGAGGGTTGACCTCTCTCTGTAAGGGGCGGCAGTTAACAGCCTGGCCGCCGCCCGTTGAACCAACTGGAATTTCCGTGCCGTTTTCAAGGGCAGCCCCACGTAGAGTACATTACAGTAGTCCAATCTGGAGGTGACTAAGGCATGGACCACCCTGGCCAGATCCGCCTTCACAAGGTACTGTCGCAGTTGGCACAGTTGGCCACTGCCTGAGCTTCAAACGTAAGTGATGAGTCCAGGAGGACACCCAAACTGCGGACCTGTGTCATCTGTACGCAGATGATATCCAACTCCATCACTCCTTCCCACCTGTTACTAAGGAGGCTGTCCAGGTCCTGAACCGGTGCTTGGCCGCTGTGACGGTCTGGATGAAGGCAAACAAATTGAAATTGAATCCAGACAAGACAGAGGTCCTCCTGGTCAGTCGCAAGGCCGAACAGGACATAGGGTCACAGCCTGTGTTGGACGGGGTCACACTCCCCCTGAAGACGCAGGGAGTGATCCTGGACTCATCGCTGAGCCTGGAACCTCAGGTCTTGGCAGTGACCAGGGGAGCATTTGCACAGTTAAAACTTGTGCGCCAGCTGCGCCCGTACCTTGGGAAGTCTGACTTGGCCACAGTAGTCCACGCTCTGGTTACATCCCGTATAGACTACTGCAACACTCTCTATGTGGGGTTGCCCTTGAAGACTGTCCGGAAGCTTCAACTAGTCAAACGAACGGCAGCCAGGCTGTTAACAGGAGCAGCGCTCAGAGAGCATACAAACCCCTTGTTGCGCCACCTCCATTGGCCGCCATTTTGCTACCGGGCCCAATTCAAAGTGCTGGCTTTGGCCTATTAAAGCCCTAGAGCAGTGATGGGCAACCTTTTGAGCGTGGTGGGTCAAAATTCGCCAAAAAACTGAGCATAATTCAGGTGGTGTGTCACTTCAAGAAAAAAAACCCATAATTTTGCAATATTTAGTTTAAATAACAAAAAATATATAATTTTCTCTCTTTCTCCCTTATCATGTTTTTCTACCTCTCTTTATGTAAATAATATCCTTTTTGGAGTGTTTAATGAAAATACAATTTTAAAAATCCAACAAAATATTATTTTTTTATTTAATTTAAATGTATTTCTAGCATTTAATATGCTATTTAATGTATTTCTAATAATAATAATAATAATAATAATAATAATAATAATAATAATGCAATAACAATAAAGTAACATTGCAAAATAATATTTTGATATTTAATTTACCGTTTCATTTAAGGCATATATATATGTATATAGGCATATATTAAAAATATTTAAAATGCACTAAATTAAAATGCATTAAATTAAATGTCAAATCAAAATTCAATTTACCATTTCATTTAAGGCATTCTGAAACATTTGAGAAATATAGCAAAGTATTATTTATCATTTAATTCAATTTAAATATGTAACTCCTTAATATTTAGGAAACAATGCAGAATAATATTCGTTTCCTTAATAATTAAATAAACCAATATTATTTTGCAATGTTACCTAAATATTAATAATTAAATATTTTTAAATTTGACATTTAATTTAATGCATTTTAATATTTGAATAATATAGCAAAGTAATAGTATTTTTATCATTCAGTTTAAATATGAAACTCCTTAATATTTAGGTAACATTGCAAAATAATAATTTCTTTCCTATTAATTTTTTAAAATGGCATAAAATAAATAAAGAAATAATATCCGGCGGGCGCATGTCAGTAGAAATGGCTACACGTGTCTGTACTGACACGCGTGTCGTAGGTTCGCCATCACGGCCCTAGAGACTGATATCATGACACATGTCCAGTTTCAGCGTTCTGTGATAAATAGAAGTGGATCAGGGGACATCTTTCATGAACGACCCTCGCATTTCAAAATAGCGCATCTTTTGTCATGGGTGGAATGACACATTCCCTTCACAAACTCAGATTGATATGGATGTTTCAAGGGATAATGAAAGCAATGCCAGAATATTTTGCAGATCTGTCCAGAGCCACGGTGTTTAATGCTCATGCTTGTCCTGTTTTGTGCAGCGATCCGTATGTGAAAGTGACGGTCTACGATTCGGGAAATGGAGTCCTGACATGTGTCCAAACAAGAACGGTTAGGAAGGTGAGGCATTATCCTTCTTTTTTTCAAAAAATAATTTTTATTGCATTTTATATTCATTACAAAACCCTGCCATAGTTTTTAATTGCGTCATTGTGTGTTGTTAATGTTATTGCTTTGTTTTTGATTTATTTTGCTGTATTGTTGTTGTTGTTTTACTAGCCATCCCCTGCCACGCGTTGCTGTGGCCCACATGGGTGTTCTCTGTGGGAGATTTGGCCCAATTCTATCGTTGGTGGGGTTCAGAATGCTCTGTGATTGTAGGTGAACTATAAATCCAGCAACTACAACTCCCAAATGTCAAGGTGTGTTTCCCCCAAACTCCACCAGTGTTCACATTTGGGCATACTGAGTATTTGTGCCAAGTTTGGTCCAGATCCATCATTGTTTGAGTCCACAGTGCTCTCTTGATGTAGGTGAACTACAACTCCCAAACTCAAGATCAATGCCCACCAAACCCTTCCAGTATTTTCTGTTGGTCATGGGAGTTCTGAGTGCCAAGTTTGATTTAATTCCATCGTTGGTGGAGTTCAGAATGTGCTTTGATTGTAGTTGAACTATAAATCCCAGCAACTACAACTCCCAAATGTCAAGATTTATTTCCCCCAAACTCCACCAGTGTTCACATTTGGGCATGTTGAGTATTCATGTAGGGTTTGGTCCAGATCCATCATTGTTTGAGTCCACAATGCTCTATGGATGTAGATGAACTACAACTTCAAAACCAAAGGACACTGCTCACCAAACCCTTCCAGTATTTTCTGTTGGTCATGGGAGAACTGTGTGCCAAGTTTGGTTCAATTCCATCATTGGTGGGGTTCAGAATGCTCTTTGATTGTAGGTGAACTATAAATCCCAGCAACTACAACTCCCAAATGTCAAGATTCTATTTTCCCCAAACTCCACCAGAGTTCACATTTGTGCATATTGAGTATTTGTGTAGAGTTTGGTCCAGATCCATCATTGTTTGGATCCACAGTGATCTCTGGATGTAGGTGAACTACAACTCCAAAACCAAAGGACACTGCCCACCAAACCCTTCCAGTATTTTCTGTTGGTCATGGGAGTTCTGTGTGCCAAGACTGGTTCAATTCCGTCGTTGCTGGAGTTCAGAATGCTCTTTGATTGTAGGCGTTGAATTCCATCATTGGTGGAGTTCAGAATGCTCTTTGATTGTAGGTGAACTATAAATCCCAGCAACTACAACTCCCAAATGTCAAGGTCTATTTCCCTTAAACTCCATCTGTGTTCATATTTGGGCATATGGAATATTTGTGGCAAGTTTGGTCCAGATCCGTCATTGTTTGAGTCCACAGTGCTCTCTGGATGTAGGTGAACTACAACTCCCAAACTCAAGGTCAATACCATTCCAGTGTGTTCTGTTGGTCATGGAAGTCCTGTATGCCATGTTTGGTTCAATTCCATCATTGGTGGAGTTCAGAATGCTCTTTGATTGTAGGTGAACTATAAATCCCAGCAACTACAACTCCCAAATGTCAAGGTCTATTTCCACCAAACTCCATCTGTGTTCATATTGGCATATTGCGTATTCGTGGGAAGTTTGCTCCAGATCCACCCTAGCTTGAGTCTCTGGATGTAGGTGAACTACAACTCCCAAACTCAAGGTCAATGCCCACCAAACCCTTCCAGTATTTTCTGTTGGTCATGGGCGTTCTGTGTGTGCCAAGTTCGGTTTAAATCCATCGCTGGTGGAGTTCAGAATGCTCTTTGATTGTAGGTGAACTATAAATCCCAGCAACTACAACTCCCAAATAACAAAATCATATTTTTGAGTGATGGTCACTCCTTTGTGTAGTGAGACGTTTTGTTGCCAAATTTGGTGTGATTTCGTTCATTGCTTCTTCTGTTTTTAAGGTACTCATGACGCACTGAACATTTTTATAGATATAGATTGTTGTATGTTGTATTTGGCCTTGGCCTCTTGTAAGCCGCACTGAGTACTTCGAGAGATGGTAGCGGAGTAGAAATAGAGTACATCTGGGAGTTGTAGTTGCTGGGATGTATAGTTCACCTACAATCAAAGAGCATTCTGAACCCCACCAATGATGGAATTGAACCAAACTTGGCACACAGTTCTCCCATGACCAACAGAAAATACTGGAAGGGTTTGGTGGGCAGTGTCCTTTGGTTTGGGAGTTGTAGTTCACCTACATCCAGAGATCACTGTGGACTCAAACAATGATGGATCTGGACCAAACTCTACAATTCATATAATTACTTCTCCTTTCCCCCGTTGTGCTACCCCTTGTGCTCCCCATCTCCAGAGTTGGCTTGAAAAGGAATTTCCTTTGTTCAAAACAAAGATTGGGACAAAACCACATAGTTATTTATAATAATAATAATAATAATAATAATAATAATAATATCATCTTTATTTGTACCCCGCTACCATCTCCCCAAGGGACTCGGTGCGGCTTACATGAGGCCAATAATAATTTATTTATATCATTTATCGTGTCAGGCAACCAAGCAGTTGTATTACATTTTTGACAGAACAAACAAACAAACATACAAAAGACACAAATTTTTGCAAACTTGGTAGTTGACTAAATGTGCTTTGATCAGTATCTGGCCGCTTGGTGTGCCCAGGATGGAGTCTCTCATTTGGCATCAGCCATTGGTTGAGGTTCTGGGTTTGAGCCTGCCACTTTTGGACTCTCGCTTGCTGAGGTGTTCCAGCGAGTGTCTCTGTAGATCTTAGAAAACTATTTCTAGATTTAAGTTGTTGACAAACAGATAAAAAACACAAAATTTGCAAGTTTGGTAGTTGACTTCAACCAGTATGTCCTTTGACCAGTATCTGTCCCCTTGGAGTGCCTCTGGTGTTGCCGCAAGAAGGTCCTCCCTTGTGCATGCGGCAGGGCTCAGGTTGCATTGCAGCAGGTGGTCAGTGGTTTGCTCTTCTCCACACTCACATGTCGTGGATTCCACTTTGTGGCCTCATTTCTTGAGGTTGGCTCTGCATCTCGTGGTGCCAGAGCGCAGTCTGTTCAGTCTTCTGTGTGCCCGGGGGGAGTCTCTCATTTGGTATCAGCCATTGATTGAGGTTCTGGGTTTGAGCCTGCCACTTTTGGACTCTTGCTTGCTGAGGTGTTCCAGCAAGTGTCTCTGTAGATCTTAGAAAACTATTTCTAGATTTCAAGTCATCATGCTGGCTGATACCCAAACAGGGGATGAGCTGGAGATGTCTCTGCCTTGGTCCTTTCACTATTGGCTGCTACTTCCCGGCGGATGTCAGGTGGTGCAATACCGGCTAAGCAGTGTAATTTCTCCAGTGGTGTAGGGCGCAGACACCCTGTGATAATGCGGCATGTCTCATTAAGAGCCACATCCACTGTTTTAGCGTGGTGAGATGTGTTCCACACTGGGCATGCGTACTCAGCAGCACAGTAGCATAGCGCAAGGGCAGATGTCTTCACTGTGTCTGGTTGTGATCCCCAGGTTGTGCCAGTCAGCTTTCGTATGATATGTTTCTAGCGCCCACTTTTTGCTTGATGTTCAGGCAGTGCTTCTTGTAGGTCAGAGCACGGTCCAGAGTGACTCCTCCCAGGTATTTGTGTGTGCTGCAATGCTCCAGAGGGATTCCTTCCCAGGTAATTATCCTCAGAGCTCGGGATGCTTGTCTGTTCTTGATATGAAAAGCACATGTCTGTGTTTTACATGGGTTAGGGATCAGCTAACATGTTGCATTATCACGGGGTGTCTGCGCCCTACACCACTGGAGAAATTACACTGCTTAGCCGGTATTGCCCCACCTGACATCTGCCGGGAAGGAGCAGCCAGTAGTAAAAGGACCAAGGCAGTGACATCTCCAGCTCATCCCCTGTTTGGGTATCAGCCAGCACGTCAACGACTTAAATCAGGAAATAGTTTTCTAAGATCTACAGAGACACTTGCTGGAACACCTCAGCAAGCGAGAGTCCAAAAGTGGCAGGCTCAAACTCAGAACCTCAACTAATGGCTGATACCAAATGAGAGACTCCCCCCAGAAGCACTCCAAGTGGCCAGCTACTGGTCAAAGGACATTTAATCCACTACCAAACTCACAAATTTTGTATTTTGTCTGTTTGTTTGCTTTGTTCTGTTAGAAATGTAATACAATTGACTGGTTGCCCAGACACGACAAATAAATATAAATTATCCTTGACCGTTTAAAGACATGGTTCTTCAGTCTAACAGATGAGTTACCTGTGTGCCATTACATGAATGCTTATGAATATCACTTGTTCAAAGGGTTGCCTTCTAACAAGGTCAGGCTTTCCTTGACTTGTGGTTTTCAAAAGATGGTCACGGAGATTCCCATTGGTCAAACGGATGGGGCATCATTGTTTACCTTTTCAGAAAGGTTATGGTGCACTTATTTCCAAGATATTTGCAAGATGTTTATGCTGCTCCCATGTCAGATCTTACCCGTCAGATCGCCAAACGTTGCTTCTCGAACTCTTACGGATTTCCTCTTCTCGGAATCCTTTGTTGGAAACAGCTTGCTCTGTTTTACCCAAAGAGACAAATACCGTTTTAATGATTTCATAACCAGTCATTATCCAGTCACGTGGAGCTGGAAGAGACCTCCTGGGCCATCATCCAGTCCAACCCCATTCTGCCAAGAAGCAGGAATATTGCATTCAAATCACCCCTGACAGATGGCCATCCAGCCTCTGTTTCGAAGCTTCCAGAATGAGCCTCCACCACAGTCCGGGCCAAGAGTTCCACTGCTGAACAGCTCTCACAGTCAGGAAGTTCTTCCTCATGTTCAGGTGGAATCTCCTATCCTGGAGTTTGAAGCCATTGTTCCATGTCCTAGTCTCCAGGGCAGCAGAAAACAAGCTTGCTCCCTCCTCCCTATGGCTTTCTTTAAAATACTGGTAGCCAGATTTTGTTCATTTTCATGGTTTCTTCCTTTCTGTTGAAATTGTCCACATGCTTGTGGATTTCAGTTGCTTCTCTGTGTAGTCTGACATGGTGGTTGTGAGAGTGGTCCAGCATTTCTGTGTTCTCCAATAATATGCTGTGTCCAGGCTGGACCACAGAAATGCTGGACCACACCAACAACCACCGCCTGCATCACAAGCACGGCTGGCGGGGACGAAGAACAGGGCCTTCTCTGTGGTGGCCCCTCGGCTGTGGAACGCCCTTCCCATGGACATTAGATCAGCTCCTACGTTAATGGTGTTTCGAAGAAAACTAAAAACCTGGCTGTTTGAACAGGCATTCGGATAAACTGCAATGAATATGATGAATATAGGAACGGAATTATAGACGACGAATTGGATCACGATTCTAGTTACGAGACGTTAATGTGTTGCTATTGGTGTGCCATTATTTTGTATATTATGCTCTCATGGTTTTAAATTGTATTATTGCTATATTGTTATGACTGTCTTTTTGCTCTTGTTGTGAACCGCGTTGAGTCGCCTACGGGCTGAGAAACTGCGGTATACAAGCAAAGTAAATAATAATAATAAATAAATAATAATAATAAATAATAATAATAATGTCAGACTACACAGAGAAGCCATTGAAATACACAAGAAGCATGTGGACAATTTCAACAGAAAGGAAGAGACCATGAAAATGAACAAAACCTGGCTGCCAGTATTTAAAAAACTCTAAAATTACAACAGCAAAACAGCAGAGAGGAAACAACCAGGCACAGCTTAACACCTCTCAACAAAAGATTTTCCCAGGCTCAGCCAGGCCTTCAAATGCTAATCAAGGTGGTCAGTTGAAACATTCACACCTAGCTCCAGCAGAAAAGGGTCCTTTCTCCCACCCTGGCCATTCCACAGATATATAAACCCATTGTCCTAATTCCAACAGACCTCACTGCCTCTGAGGATGCTTGCCATCGATGCAGGCGAAACGTCAGGAGAGAATGCCTCTAGAACATGGCCCTATAGCCCGAAAAAACCCACAAGAACCTTATTATTATTATTATTATTATTATTATTATTATTATTATTATTACTTCATGGGAAAGGTCCTGCCTTGTCTTTGGAGGTCATCCCCTGTCTTGTCCCCTTTTCTCCTTGTAGACCTTGAATCCCAAGTGGAACGAAGAGTTCTTCTTCCGAGTAAGTGACCTCTCTTCCACCTCGAGGCTTCTTTGCCCGCGCATGGGTGTTTACTCCCCATGAAACCAACCGATTCCCATGTGACCCGTTTCCTTCCAGGTCAGTCCACAGAAACACCGGTTTCTCCTTGAAGTGTTTGATGAAAACAGACTGGTAAGTCCTTGTCGCTTTGTGTTTTGTAGGGATGTCCATTACCTTGCACGCTACTCTGCTTGGTTAGTTGCACAGGATATGGCCCCATCTACACTGCCATATAATCCATATCATCAAAACAGATATTCCACATGTAATTTGGATTGGATGAATCTACTCTGCCCTATAATCCAGTTCAAAGCAGATAATCTGGATTTTCTATGGCAGGGTAGAAGGGGCCTAGGCCAGCGTTTCTCAAGCTGGGGGTTGGGACCCCTGGGGGTGTCATGAGGGGGTGTCAGAGGGGTCGCCAAAGACCATCAGAAAACTCAGTATTTTCTGTTGGTCATTAGGAAGATTGGCCCAATTCTATCATAGGTGGGGTTCAGAATGCTCTTTGACTGTAGGTGAACTATAATTCCCAGCAGCTACAACTCCCAAATATCAATATTCTATTTTCCCCAAATTCCGCCAGTGTTCACGTTTGGACATAGTGAGTATGTGTGCCAAGTTTGGTCCAGATCCATCATTGTTTGAGTCCACGATGCTCTCTGGATGTAGGTGAACTACAACTCCCAAACTCAAAGTCAATGCCCAGTATTTTCTGTTGGTCGTGGGATTCTCTGTACCAACTTTGGTTCAATTCCATCGTTGGTGGAGTTCTGAATGCTCTTTGATTGTAGGTGAGCTATAAATCCCAGCAACTACAACTCCCAAATGTCAAGGTCTGTTTTCCCCAAACTCCACCAATGTTCACATTTGGGCATATTGAGTATGTGTGCCAAGTTCGGTCCAGATCCATCATTGTTTGAGTCTACAGTACTCTTTGGATGTAGGTGAACTACAACTCCAAAACTCATGGTCAATGCCCAACAAACTCTTCCAATATTGTCGAAGGCTTTCATGGCCGGAATCACTGGGTTGTTGTAGGTTTTTTCGGGCTGTATGGCCATGGCCTAGAGGCATTCTCTCCTGACGTTTCGCCTGCATCTAAGCAAAGCATCCTCAGAGGTAGTGAGGTCTGTTGCAAGTAGGAAAAAGGGTTTATATATCTGTGGAATGACCAGGGTGGGACAAAGGACTCTTGTCCGTTGGAGCGAGGCGGGAATGTTTCAACTGACCACCTTGATTAGCATTTGATGGCCTGACAGTGCCTGGGGCAAACTTTTGTTGAGAGGTGATTAGAGGTCCTTGTTTATTGTATTGTCGAAGGCTTTCGTGGCTGGAATCACTGGGTTGTTGTAGGTTTTTTCGGGCAATATGGCCATGGTCTAGAGGCATTCTCTCCTGACATTTCGCCTGCATCTATGACAAGGATCCTCAGAGGTAGTGAGGTCTGTTGGAACTAGGAAAAAGGGTTTGTAGTATATCTGTGGAATGATCAGGGTGGGACAAAGGACTCTTGTCTGTTGGAGCTAGGTGTGAATGTCTCAACTGACCACCTTAATTAGTGGGTGGCTGTAGGTTTTTTCGGGCAATATGCCCATGGTCTAGAGGCATTCTCTCCTGATGTTTCGCCTGCATCTATGGCAAGCATCCTCAGAGGGAGTGAGGTCTGTTGGAACTAGGAAAATTGGTTTATATATCTGTGGAATGACCAGGGTGGGACAAAGGACTCCTGTCTGCTGGAGCGAGGTGTGAATGTTTCAACTTACCACCTTGATTAGCATATAATCGCCTGGCAGTGCCTGGAGCAATCTTTTGTTAAGAGCTTTGTTTTTTGTGTGTGTGTCAGGAGCGACACAATTGTACTTCATTTTAATTATTGTATTGTTTTTAAGTGTGCATTGGAATTCATTCATTCTTTTTTCAAATTACAATCCGGCCCTCGAACAGTTTGAGCGACTGTGACCTGGCCCTCTGCTTATAATTATATAATAATATAATTATGAGCATCTTTTTTTGTTTTGGTTTGGTTTTTGTCTTGTCATGAGCGACTTGAGAAACTGCAAGTCGCTTCTGGTGTGAGAGAATTGGCCGTCTGCAAGGACGTTGCCCAGGGGACATTGTCTGGATTATTTGATGTTTTATCATCCTTGTGGGAGGCTTCTCTCATGTCCCCGCATGAGGAGCTGGAGCTGACAGAAGGAGCTCATCCGCCTCTCCCCGGATTCGAACCTGCGACCTGTCGGTCTTCAGTCCTGCCGGCACAAGGGTTTAACACAGGGGTAGAAGCGTCATTTTGCAAAATGACACTGGCATTGTCTTCCTGGGCAAAAATACGTTGTGTGTGTCTTCCTTTTGGGAACGGAGCAAAATGAGGCTGAGCAAAGGCCCGCTTCCTGTCTGTGTTTTCAGGAATGGATGGTGCTGTTAAGTATTGTTTTCCAAACTGGTTCCAGTCCCCTTGAGAGGGTGTGAAATGCTGGTTTGGATGCAAACGAACCAAAAATGTCCTGAAGGTTAAGCAAATACCAGGCTGGGAATATGCAGGCATGCGATTGGCCCAAAGCATGAAGGGTGCAGTGTTCTCGCCTGGCTGCGGCCGAGATCCGTGCTTCCGAGGCCGGATTCAGAAATGGCCAGGACTGTTTGCTTGTGGTGAAGGAAGGGCCCAGGCCAGAGCACAACATAGGGCTTTGTTGCCGTTTCCAAGCGGGCCATAAACGCCGGGCGAGCAAAGAGGGGAGTGGCTGGAAGAAGGTCCTCTGGCACTTGCTCCGGGCTGGTTCATCATATCAGCTTTGCAGGGCAAATGGGCTCTGAGCATAAACCGGATCGGGGCATAGGGTGGCAACCTGTGCTGGACGGGGTGACACTCCCCCTGAAGTCACAGGTCCGCAGTCTGGGAGTCCTCTTGGATTCATCGCTCACGCTTGAGGCTCAGGCGTCGGCGGTGGCCGGGAGGGCCTTTGCACAATTGAGACTCGTGCGCCAACTGCGACCGTACCTCATGAAGGCGGATCTGGCCGGGGTGGTCCATGTCTTCGTCACCTCCAGATTGGACTACTGCAATGCGCTCTACGTGGGGCTGCCCTTGAAGACGGCTCGGAAGCTCCAACTGGTCCAACGATCAGCAGCCAGGATGCTAACTGGGGCCCCTTACAGGGAGAGGTCAACCCTCCTGTTTAAGGAGCTCCGCTGGCTGCCATTTATTTTCCGAGCCTAATTTAAGGTGCAGGTGCTTACCTACAAAGCCCTGAACGGTTTGGGACCACCCTACCTGCGTGACTGCATTTCCTTCTACGAACCCACGCGTGCACTTCGTTCATCTGGAGAGGCCCTGCTCGTGATCCCACTGGCATCGCAAGCTCGCTTGGTGGGGACGCGGGACAGGGCCTTTTCTGTGGTGGCCCCCCAACTCTGGAACACCCTCCCCAAAGACCTTAGACAGGCCCCTACTTTGGCTGTCTTCAGAAAGAACTTGAAGACCTGGCTTTTCCGATGCGCCTTCCCAGATTAGGAAATCTCCACTACCAAGTCCCATAAGCACTTTACCAGAACCAATGATTGCTGCACATCGCACATCGCACTTGCCCTGGAAGCCCTTTATACACCTCCTGTCACATCAGCACTTTTAATCTTTGTACCCACCTTCAGGCCTGGCCCAGTTTTATTGTGTTTAGTGTATTGTGCCTATTGTTTACTTTGCTTTATTCTGTTTTAATTGTTTGATTTGCTTAGATTGTTATGTTGTATTTTGAGGCCTCGGCCTGTGTAAGCTGCATCGAATCCTTCGGGAGATGCTAGCGGGGTACAAATAAAGTTTAATAATAATAATAATAATAGATCTTTTGAGTCGCCCTCCTCTGCACACATTCCAGCTTAGAGTCAATATCTCTCTTGAGTTGTGGTGCCCAGAATTGGACACAATATTCCAGGTAAAGTGGTCTAACTAACTATAGAGCATGGGGAGCATGACTTCCCTGGATCTAGACACTAGGCTCCTCTTGATGCAGGCCAAAATCCCATTGGCTTTTTTTGCTGCCACATCACATTCCTGGCTCATGTTCCCCTTCCTCCCCACGAGGACTCCAAGATCTTTTCCCCACGTCCTGCTCTTGAGCCAGGCCTCATCGTCCCCCATTCTGTCACTTTGCATTTCGTTTTTCCTGCCTAAGTGGAGTGTCTTGCAGTTGTCCCCGTTGAACTTCATTTTGTTAGTTTTGGCCATTCATCTCTCTAATCTATCAAGATCCCTTTGAGTCCTGCTCCTGTCCTCTGGAGTCTTGGCTCTCCCTCCCAATTTGGTCCCGTCTGCAAACTTGATGATCCTGCCTTCTAGCCCTTCATCTGAGTCATGAATGAAGATCCTGATCAGGACCGGGCCCAGGACGGAACCCTGGAGCACTCCACTTGTCCCTTCTTTCCAGGATGAAGAGGAGGAAGCCTTGGGGAGAATCACCCTCTGGGTTCGTCCATTTAACCAATTCCAGATCCACCCCACCGTAGTTTTGCCTCGCCCACATTGGACTAGTTTCCTTGCCAGAAGGTCATGGGGGACCTTGTCAAAGAAGGCCTTCCTGAAATCCAGGTATCCTACATCCACACCCTTGAATCATAGAATCATAGAATGATAGAGTTGGAAGAGACCTCATGGGCCATCCGGTCCAATCCCATTCTGCCAAGAAGCAGGAATATTGAATTCAAAGCACCCCTGACAGATGGCCATCCAGCCTCTGTTTAAAAGCTTCCAAAGAAGGAGCCTCCACCACACTCCCTCTGGGGCAGAGAGTTCCACTGCTGAACGGCTCTCACAGTCAGGAAGATAATAGAATATTAGAGTTGGAAGAGACCTCATGGGCCATCCAGTCCAACCCCATTCTGCCAAGAAGCAGGAATATTGCATTCAAAGCACCCCTGGCAGATGGGTGCTTTGAATGCCATCCAGCCCCTGTTTAAAAGCTTCCAAAGAAGGAGCCTTCACCACACTCCGGGGCAGAGAGTTCCACTGCTGAACAGCTCTCACAGTCAGGAAGTTCTTTCTCATGTTCAGATGGAATCTCCTTTCTTGTCGTTTGAGGTGAAAAGGATCTGTCAGCACATGCTCAGGTGCTTCGTTGGCTGTCAGAAGTGACCCA